GGGGGGGGGGGGAGCGGGGATGGGGAGGCAGATGCACACGTGCCAGGCTGGAGGTCAGCAAGACCAGGACTCAACCCTCAACCCCACTCCTCCCCACCCCCAGACACCTCCCTTCACCCCCCACAACTCCCCACCCAACGGGGAACTCTCAAGGAGGCTGTAGGAGAGACTGATACAATTTGTTGACTGGATCCGATTGGAGTTGGGCGGGGTGTGGGGTTGGGTTGGGTGTGGTGTGGGGGTTACATTGGAGACGTCCTGCTGGAATATGACACCCCCCCTCCAAAGGCTTGCACATGATGGATCGCACAGATTCTATTCCCAACTCCCACCCCGCAAACCCCACCCCCACCCATGGCTCCTCAGGGGGAGGAAATTTCAACAACCGTCACTCCCCACCCCCCCAAACTCTCAGTCAGGGTTGGCCCACAGGCCTCCCCAAACCAACCCCCCCCACACCCAATCCTTCTGCCTCCCCACCCCCCTGATTGCACGCCAAACTCTCCACCTCAATGAGGGAGACATCATTGAGTTCAACGGGGGTGGGGGGATGTGAAGTGGGCGGGTGAAGCTTGAGGGTAACAGGTCGGCACAACATTGTGGGCTGAAGGGCCTGCGCTGTGCTGCACTGTTCTGTGCCAACCCTCCTCGGCTGGGCCATGTCAATGTGAGAGGGTCGCCTTGAGTCAGCCTTACCTGAGGAACGCCTGGTCTCCCACCGTGTCCCAGATTTCCTGGAAAACTTCCACAGTGGCCTCTGTGGCCACTCTCGCTGCTGCTGTGTGATACTGTCCATGCGGAGAATTCCGTGTGTCCTTGTTAATTCCCTGATTCCCTCGCTTGCCCCGGTCCGCTGTCCCTCCATGGCTACACTTGCCTGTGGGCCAAGGAAGGCAGGGAGAGGTCAGGTGAGTGGCCTCAAGGCCCAATGGCCCATCGCCAGAAAATGCTAGCCCTTGGCTGAGCCATCACACTGCCACCTTCTGCTCATAAAATCCCGAGCAGTGGCAACGGAGGGCTGCAAGCGGGGTCAGCCGATGAGCAGAAGTGGTTAACATGCACAATCCCTGCCGCAAGCTATTTCTGGATTTCTGGCACAGGGTTTGAATTGTAATGTTGTGAGTAATTTTCCAGAAAGCAACATCACATCATCAGAATTCCTGTTTCATTCTGTCTCACAGCAACTTCCTCTTCAGACACATGTTCAAAACACTGTGTAAGCACTTCCAGACATCACAGAGGGAACGTGATCTCACATATGTTAGACCCACACTCGGGGCACCGTGCACAGTTCCAGTCTCCGTATCCCTCAGTTAGACCCGCACTCGGAGCACCGTGCACAGTTCCGGTCTCCGTATCCCTCAGTTAGACCCACACTCGGAGCACCATGCACAGTTCCGGTCTCCGTATAACTCAGTTAGACCCACACTCGGAGCACCGTGCACAGTTCCGGTCTCCGTATCCCTCAGTTAGACCCACACTCGGAGCGCCGTGCACAGTCCCGGTCTCCGTATCCCTCAGTTAGACCCACACTCGGAGCACCGTGCACAGTCCCGGTCTCCATATCCCTCAGTTAGACCCACACTCGGAGAACCGTGCACAGTTCCGGTCTCCGTACCCCTCAGTTAGACCCACACTTGGAGCACTGTGCACAGGTTAGGATCTCTGTAAAGCGATCCCGATGTTGAAGGATGGGGTGATGAGATCTTTGGAAGGGGACACAGAGATTTCTGTCCACCCACATTCCAAGGCCCTGACGTTGCCAATCTCTCCCGGCTCTGCCTAATGTTACCTTTGGGACGACTGTTTCTGGTGAAGCCAAAGTATCCAGTGGTCAGGATCTTTTCTTTTTGGACCTTTTCCAGGATTTTATCCTTGCAGCCGTGGGATGTGGAGCACTCGGTGCATGTTTCCTCATCCGGGCCTGGGAATGAAAGCCAGAAAGGATTCACCATTGATCGGAAACTCAACTGGACCCACCACATAAACCCAGTGGCTACAAGAGCAGGTCAGCTTCTTCCCTGATGTTATCAGATTAATGCACGATGCTCTCATATGTGGGAGACTGATCTTTCTCTGCATCTGCTCGGCAGCTGTAACTCTGCTTTCTGTTCTATTACCCCGACGTACTGATGCAGTGTATCACTTGTCTGCTGGGCTTGCACAACAATAATTCTCACTGTATCTTGGTAGAAGTCACAAAGGTTCATCAAATCAAATGACCATGTTGCCCAACAGCAATTAACAGCCCAGTCCAAACAACCGCCCATTGTGGGTCAGGGAGACGTACCTGCCATCCTGCCAAACGATTCTCCCAACTTCAGGAGGTTACTGTGTGGCCTTTGGAACCCCAGCTCGATCCAGTTACTGTGACTGTAAAAATCCTGTGCACGGGGAAGGGGTCACGTATGAGGATAATCGGTCAGGGACTGGCAGTGTTCTCAACTATCCCCCAGAGAAACATCAGGACAAGTTGAATCCGCACTGACCCTCTGACAGTGCCCGCTCCCTCAGCACTGACCCTCCGACAGTGCGGCGCTCCCTCAGCACTGACCCTCCGAC